AAGACCTGCAGTCAAGTACAAGACCTGGAGTCAAGTACAAGACCTGGAGTCAAGTACAAGACCTGGAGTCAAGTACAAGACCTGGAGTCAAGTACAAGACCTGCAGTCAAGTACAAGACCTGCAGTCAAGTACAAGACCTGGAGTCAAGTACAAGACCTGGAGTCAAGTACAAGACCTGGAGTCAAGTACAAGACCTGGAGTCAAGTACAAGACCTGCAGTCAAGTACAAGACCTGGAGTCAAGTACAAGACCTGGAGTCAAGTACATATCATATAATATAACCTAACTGACGGAGATCATACGTAACTTGTCCAACTTGTCAGTGTTAATATTGATTAAAAAAACGTAAATAATTACTTGCTATTGTAACTTTTTTTGGAGATCAGAAAATGTTAAGGGGCCCCAGTTACTGTGCGCATGATGTGTGGCTGTGCCCATGATGTGTGGCTGTGCCCATGATGTATGGCTGTGACCATGATGTGTGGCTGTGACCATGATGTGTGGCTGTGTCCATGATGTGTGGTTGTGACCATGAAGTGTGGCTGTGACCATGATATGTGGCTGTGCTTATGATGTGTGGCTGTGACCATGATGTGTGGCTGTGTCCATGATGTGTGGCTGTGACCATGATGTGTGGCTATGTCCATGATGTGTGGCTGTGTCCATGATGTGTGGCTGTGACCATGATGTGTGGCTGTGTCCATGATGTGTGGCTGTGACCATGATGTGTGGCTGTGCCCATGATGTGTGGCTGTGACCATGATGCGTGGCTGTTACCATGATGTGTGGTTATGCCCATGATGTGTGGCTGTGTCCATGATGTGTGGCTGTGACCATGATGTGTGGCTGTGTCCATGATGTGTGGCTGTGTCCATGATGTGTGGCTGTGTCCATGATGTGTGGCTTTGCCCATGATGTGTGGCTGTGACCATGATGTGTGGCTGTGTCCATGATGTGTGGCTGTGACCATGATGTGTGGCTGTGACCATGATGTGTGGCTGTGCCCATGATGTGTGGCTGTGTCCATGATGGGGTGGCTGTGACCATGATGTGTGGCTGTGCCCATGATGTGTGGCTGTGACCATGATGTGTGGCTGTGTCCATGATGTGTGGCTGTGACCATGATGTGTGGTTGTGACCATGAAGTGTGGCTGTGACCATGATATGTGGCTGTGCTTATGATGTGTGGCTGTGACCATGATGTGTGGCTGTGTCCATGATGTGTGGCTGTGACCATGATGTGTGGCTATGTCCATGATGTGTGGCTGTGTCCATGATGTGTGGCTGTGACCATGATGTGTGGCTGTGTCCATGATGTGTGGCTGTGACCATGATGTGTGGCTGTGCCCATGATGTGTGGCTGTGACCATGATGCGTGGCTGTTACCATGATGTGTGGTTATGCCCATGATGTGTGGCTGTGTCCATGATGTGTGGCTGTGACCATGATGTGTGGCTGTGTCCATGATGTGTGGCTGTGTCCATGATGTGTGGCTGTGTCCATGATGTGTGGCTTTGCCCATGATGTGTGGCTGTGACCATGATGTGTGGCTGTGTCCATGATGTGTGGCTGTGACCATGATGTGTGGCTGTGACCATGATGTGTGGCTGTGCCCATGATGTGTGGCTGTGTCCATGATGTGTTGTTGTGACCATGATGTGTGGCTCTGCCCATGATGTGTGGCTGTGCCCATGATGTGTGGCTGTGCCTATGATCTGTGGCTGTGTCCATGATGTGTGGTTGTGTCCATGATGTGTGGCTGTGCCCATAATGTGTGGCTGTGCCCATGATGTGTGGCTGTGTCCATGATGTGTGGCTGTGACCATGATGTGTGGCTGTGCCCATGATGTGTGGCTGTGTCCATGATGTGTGGCTGTGACCATGATGTGTGGCTGTGACCATGATGTGTGGCTGTGCCCATGATGTGTAGCTGTGACCATGATGTGTGGCTGTGCCCATGATGTGTGGCTGTGTCCATGATGTGTGGCTGTGTCCATGATGTGTGGCTGTGTCCATGATGTGTGGCTGTGACCATGATGTGTGGCTGTGACCATGATGTGTGGCTGTGACCATGATGTGTGGCTGTGTCCATGATGTGTGGCTGTGACCATGATGTGTGGCTGTGACCATGATGTGTGCTGTGTCCATGATGTGTGGCTGTGACCATGATGTGTGGCTGTGTCCTTGATGTGTGGCTGTGACCATGATGTGTGGCTGTGTCCATGATGTGTGGCTGTGACCATGATGTGTGGCTGTGTCCATGATGTGTGGCTGTGTCCATGATGTGTGGCTGTGTCCATGATGTGTGGCTGTGTCCATGATGTGTGGCTGTGTCCATGATGTGTGGCTGTGACCATGATGTGTGGCTGTGCCCATAATGTGTGGCTGTGACCATGATGTGTGGCTGTGCCCATGATGTGTGGCTGTGTCCATGATGTGTGTTTGTGTCCATGATGTGTGGCTGTGTCCATGATGTGTGGCTGTGCCCATGATGTGTGGCTGTGACCATGATGTGTGGCTGTGTCCCTGATGTGTGGCTGTGACCATGATGTGTGGCTGTGACCATGATGTGTGGCTGTGCCCATGATGTGTGGTTCTGTCCATGATGTGTGGCTGTGACCATGATGTGTGGCTGTGACCATGATGTGTGGCTGTGTCCATGATGTGTGGCTGTGACCATGATGTGTGGCTGTGTCCATGATGTGTGGCTGTGACCATGATGTGTGGCTGTGTCCATGATGTGTGCCTGTGCCCATGATGTGTGACTGTGCCCATGATGTGGCTGCGACCATGATGTGTGGCTGTGTCCATGATGTGTGGCTGTGACCATGATGTGGGGCTGTGACCATGATGTGTGGCTGTGTCCATGATGTGTGGCTGTGACCATGATGTGTGGCTGTGTCCATGATGTGTGGCTGTGACCATGATGTGTGGCTGTGTCCATGATGTGTGGCTGTGACCATGATGTGTGGCTGTGACCATGATGTGTGGCTGTGTCCATGATGTGTGGCTGTGACCATGATGTGTGGCTGTGCCCATAATGTGTGGCTGTGACCATGATGTGTGGCTGTGCCCATGATGTGTGGCTGTGACCATGATGTGTTGTTGTGACCATGATGTGTGGCTCTGCCCATGATGTGTGGCTGTGCCCATGATGTGTGGCTGTGCCCATGATCTGTGGCTGTGTCCATGATGTGTGGTTGTGTCCATGATGTGTGGCTGTGCCCATAATGTGTGGCTGTGCCCATGATGTGTGGCTGTGTCCATGATGTGTGGCTGTGACCATGATGTGTGGCTGTGCCCATGATGTGTGGCTGTGTCCATGATGTGTGGCTGTGACCATGATGTGTGGCTGTGACCATGATGTGTGGCTGTGCCCATGATGTGTAGCTGTGACCATGATGTGTGGCTGTGCCCATGATGTGTGGCTGTGTCCATGATGTGTGGCTGTGTCCATGATGTGTGGCTGTGTCCATGATGTGTGGCTGTGACCATGATGTGTGGCTTGTGACCATGATGTGTGGCTGTGACCATGATGTGTGGCTGTGTCCATGATGTGTGGCTGTGACCATGATGTGTGGCTGTGACCATGATGTGTGCTGTGTCCATGATGTGTGGCTGTGACCTTGATGTGTGGCTGTGTCCTTGATGTGTGGCTGTGACCATGATGTGTGGCTGTGTCCATGATGTGTGGCTGTGACCATGATGTGTGGCTGTGTCCATGATGTGTGGCTGTGTCCATGATGTGTGGCTGTGTCCATGATGTGTGGCTGTGTCCATGATGTGTGGCTGTGTCCATGATGTGTGGCTGTGACCATGATGTGTGGCTGTGCCCATAATGTGTGGCTGTGACCATGATGTGTGGCTGTGCCCATGATGTGTGGCTGTGTCCATGATGTGTGTTTGTGTCCATGATGTGTGGCTGTGTCCATGATGTGTGTCTGTGCCCATGATGTGTGGCTGTGACCATGATGTGTGGCTGTGTCCCTGATGTGTGGCTGTGACCATGATGTGTGGCTGTGACCATGATGTGTGGCTGTGCCCATGATGTGTGGCTCTGTCCATGATGTGTGGCTGTGACCATGATGTGTGGCTGTGACCATGATGTGTGGCTGTGACCATGATGTGTGGCTGTGTCCATGATGTGTGGCTGTGACCATGATGTGTGGCTGTGTCCATGATGTGTGGCTGTGACCATGATGTGTGGCTGTGCCCATGATGTGTGGCTGTGTCCATGATGTGTGGCTGTGTCCATGATGTGTGGCTGTGTCCATGATGTGTGGCTGTGACCATGATGTGTGGCTGTGACCATGATGTGTGGCTGTGACCATGATGTGTGGCTGTGTCCATGATGTGTGGCTGTGACCATGATGTGTGGCTGTGACCATGATGTGTGCTGTGTCCATGATGTGTGGCTGTGACCTTGATGTGTGGCTGTGTCCTTGATGTGTGGCTGTGACCATGATGTGTGGCTGTGTCCATGATGTGTGGCTGTGACCATGATGTGTGGCTGTGTCCATGATGTGTGGCTGTGTCCATGATGTGTGGCTGTGTCCATGATGTGTGGCTGTGTCCATGATGTGTGGCTGTGTCCATGATGTGTGGCTGTGACCATGATGTGTGGCTGTCCCCATAATGTGTGGCTGTGACCATGATGTGTGGCTGTGCCCATGATGTGTGGCTGTGTCCATGATGTGTGTTTGTGTCCATGATGTGTGGCTGTGTCCATGATGTGTGTCTGTGCCCATGATGTGTGGCTGTGACCATGATGTGTGGCTGTGTCCCTGATGTGTGGCTGTGACCATGATGTGTGGCTGTGACCATGATGTGTGGCTGTGCCCATGATGTGTGGCTCTGTCCATGATGTGTGGCTGTGACCATGATGTGTGGCTGTGACCATGATGTGTGGCTGTGACCATGATGTGTGGCTGTGACCATGATGTGTGGCTGTGTCCATGATGTGTGGCTGTGACCATGATGTGTGGCTGTGTCCATGATGTGTGGCTGTGACCATGATGTGTGGCTGTGTCCATGATGTGTGGCTGTGCCCATGATGTGTGACTGTGCCCATGATGTGGCTGCGACCAAAGTTTGTGGCTGTGTCCATGATGTGTGGCTGTGACCATGATGTGTGGCTGTGACCATGATGTGTGGCTGTGTCCATGATGCGTGGCTGTGACCATGATGTGTGGCTGTGTCCATGATGTGTGGCTGTGACCATGATGTGTGGCTGTGTCCATGATGTGTGGCTGTGACCATGATGTGTGGCTGTGACCATGATGTGTGGCTGTGTCCATGATGTGTGGCTGTGACCATGATGTGTGGCTGTGCCCATAATGTGTGGCTGTGACCATGATGTGTGGCTGTGCCCATGATGTGTGGCTGTGACCATGATGTGTGGCTGTGTCCATGATGTGTGGCTGTGCCCATGATGTGTGGCTATGACCATGATGTGTGGCTGTGTCCATGATGTGTGGCTGTGCCCATGTGTGGCTGTGACCGTGATGTGTGGCTGTGTCCATGATGTGTGGCTGTGACCATGATGTGTGGCTGTGTCCATGATGTGTGTCTGTGACCATGATGTGTGGCTATGCCCATGTGTGGCTGTGACCATGATGTGTGGCTGTGTCCATGATGTGTGGCTGTGACCATGATGTGTGGCTATGTCCATGATGTGTGGCTGTGTCCATGATGTGTGGCTGTGTCCATGATGTGTGGCTGTGTCCATGATGTGTGGCTGTGCCCATGTGTGGCTGTGTCCATGATGTGTGGCTGTGTCCATAATATGTGGCTGTGACCATGATGTGTGGCTGTGTCCATGATGTGTGTCTGTGACCATGATATGTGGCTGTGACCATGATGTGTGGCTGTGTCCATGATGTGTGTCTGTGACCATGATATGTGGCTGTGACCATGATGTGTGGCTGTGTCCATGATGTGTGGCTGTGTCCATGATGTGTGTGTGACCATGATATGTGGCTGTGACCATGATGTGTGGCTGTGACCATGATGTATGGTTGTGAACATGCTTGGCTTCCTCCCATAGGATGGGTAATGAGGGGGTAGGGAGGGTAACTAGTATTCACAGTATATGGCACTGGCTACAACCCACAGTATGGGTAGTGAGTGAGTACTGCCCATATTGTAGATAATTGAAGCAGTCACTACTGCCTATAGAATGGGTGTGAGAGTACTACCGATTACAATATAATAATAATAATAATAATAATAATAACAACAACAGAGAACTTACAGTTCAGGTTGAGAGTAGTGGAGGCTATAAGAGGTTCCGTCAGGTTAGAGTTGACGGCCTGGCAGGTAAACACTCTCCTGAGGTCGCTCCTGCTGAGACCCTGCACCACGAGCATGTTTCTCACCTCCCTGCCCTCTCGTATCTCCGACGTCAGGTCCTCAACCTCTTGCCCTTCCCTCCAGGTGACCTGCGGAGCTGGGGACCCCCCAGTGACGCGGCACGTCAGGCGTAAGGTGTCCCCTTCGGCGTAGGGGCCAGCCATGGCACCTACTTTGACGCCTCCGTCGGCGTAAATGGCTATGTGTCGGGGCTGTACTGTGTGGTGAAGTTAGGAACATAGTTCTTTATCTTCTAAGGAAAGTAGGTTCAAGAAAGTATTTCATGCTAATATTAAGTTCAAGAAAGTATCTCAGATACTGGTATTAGATTCAAGAAAGTATCTCAGATACTGGTATTAGATTCAAGAAAGTATCTCAGATACTAGTATTAGGTTCAAGAAAGTATCTCAGATACTAGTATTAGATTCAAGAAAGTATCTCAGATACTAGTATTAGATTCAAGAAAGTATCTCAGATACTAGTATTAGGTTCAAGAAAGTATCTCAGATACTAGTATTAGATTCAAGAAAGTATCTCAGATACTAGTATTAGATTCAAGAAAGTATCTCAGATACTAGTATTAGATTCAAGAAAGTATCTCAGATACTAGTATTAGATTCAAGAAAGTATCTCAGATACTAGTATTAGATTCAAGAAAGTATCTCAGATACTAGTATTAGGTTCAAGAATCTCAGATACTAGTGTAAGGTTCAAGTATAATAAACTCTTGTGTTAGGCTACAGAAAAGATTTCTACAACACTTACATTAGATTTAAGAAAGTATCTGAAACAACAGCACTGGAGTATACCTGGACGGGGTTTCGGGGGTCAGCGCCCCCCACAACCCGGTCCGTTAAGGTTAAAAGAAAATACAGAAGTGGAGAATAAAATACACCTTGTAACGCAGTTAGAACTCCATAATGATGCACAGTATTGCCAAGTTCTTGTGTGTTTGTCTCTGTGTCGAGTATTCCAGTACGGGGAGGAGAAAACGTTGATCCCTGGAGCTGCCTATACCGACCAAGGGATGCTCTGGAGCTACCTATACTGACCAGTACCCTGGAGCTGCCTATAGCGACCAAGGGATGCTCTGGAGCTACCCATACTGACCAGTACCCTGGAGCTGCCTATAGCGACCAAGGGATACTCTGGAGCTGCCTATACTGACCAGTCCACTGGAGCTGCCTATACCGACCAAGGGATACTCTGGAGCTGCCTATACTGACCAGTCCCCTGGAGCTGCCTATACCGACCAAGGGATACTCTGGAGCTGCCTATACTGACCAGTCCCCTGGAGCTGCCTATACCGACCAAGGGATACTCTGGAGCTGCCTATACTGACCAGTCCCCTGGAGCTGCCTATACCGACCAAGGGATACTCTGGAGCTGCCTATACTGACCAGTCCCCTGGAGCTGCCTATACCGACCAAGGGATACTTTGGAGCTGCCTATACTAACCAGTACCCTTTATCTGCCTATACCGACCAAGGGATACTCTGGAGCTACCTATACTGACCAGTACCCTGGAGCTGCCTATACCGACCAAGGGATACTCTGGAGCTGCCTATACTGACCAGTACCCTGCAGCTGCCTATACCGACCAAGGGATACTCTGGAGCTGCCTATACTAACCAGTACCCTGGCGCTGGATATACTGACCAAGGAATATTCTGGAGCTCCTTATACTGACCAAGGAATACCCTAGAGCTGCTATACTGACCAAGGGATACTCTGGAACTGTCTATACTGACCAGTACCCTGGAGCTGCCTACACTGACCAAGGGATACAATGACGCAATATTTCTTCTCCTATCCCAAACTGTCAATCACAGCTCCTGGGCCAACTCCAACTAATGCGACAATTTTACTGTGGCAACGTTTCACCCTCCAGGAGCTTTGTCAACGACTTGACAAAGCTCCTGGAGAGCGAAACGTTGCCACACTAAAATTGTCACATTAGTTTCACTTGTGTCCTTTTACCTAACATATTGTCGGTAATTCCACCAATAGTATTAATTACGGCGGGAGACGCATCATTTACGTCTTAACCTCTGACAGCGAGGGTAGACGTAAACAACTGGCTTATCCGGCAGACAGTGGAAGATGAGGGAAGCAGTCCCTCAGCCTAGCAACAGGTGAGGCACTGGATGGCGACACGTCTACAAAGTAAAGATAGCCAGATGTTGCACGAGCGTCTAATTCATCATCTTGTCGGTATTGTCTACCAATATTATACACTCTATATGTTGGCTAACCGTCCTCTTTCTCTCTCTCTCTCTCTCTCTCTAATATATTTATATAGTATATTTATATATATATATATTATATATATAATACTATATATATATATACTATTATATAGAGAGAGAGAGTATATTTTTATATATTCATATAGTATATCAACACTCACTCCAAAAATTGAAAATTGGTTTTGCAAATTTGTCAAATAGCCCGGGATCCATCATCATCCCAAAATAAGAGAAAAACAGGAAAAAATACAAGGATTTTAGCTGTAAGCTGGAGATCCATCCATTCTGGGGGAAAAATGTGGGGGAGAGCAGTGTTGAATTATTGTGGGACAACCGACGTGAAAGCTCAATCAGTACTATGTATTCCTGGGTTAGTTTCGTTTAATACTCTTATATTTATATTAATTAAAAATTAATATTATTGTAAGGAAAGCTTGACTATAATGGTAGCCTCGAGAAGTTTAATGTTACATCTGTCAGTGGTATACCTTTGATAAAGTTCTGATGAATTCGGAGTTTTTTTTTCTACTTCCAGAGCCCCGGCCATGGGGCAGGCTCGTCTGGTGTTTGCCTGGTCAACCAGGCTGTTGCTGGTAGCTGGAACGGAGAGGTAGTTGATGTAATCTGTCTACTTCGCCTTCCACCAATTTCTGCAATTCCCTGACGAAGCTCACAGCGTAGGCCAAACTTTTCGTCAATAAAGACTGCCAGTGTTGCCAACTGTCGTACACTTCTCCAAGGGTACGAACCCATTCTCTATTTTTTTGTGCAGAAGGAACCATAACGATAGCACTTTTTTTTTTTTTGTGTGTGTGTGTGTGTTTGTTATTTACCATTTTGCCCTAGGCACATGTCGATTATACATTAGGCTTGTTGTATATGCGTGCTTGTATGTACTCACCTATTTGCGGTTGCAGTGTATGTGTATGTGTTCTATGTGTGTGTGTGTGTTTTGTGTGAGTGTGCATGGCCAGTGTACTCCAACACAGAACCACTGCAAAAAACACGTCAGGAAATTAAGGTTTCGATTTAACCACAGACTTGTACCCATCTTTTTGTTACACAAAAGTTACACTGAGGACTGTTGCATTGTATATAACCAATAAGATCATCAAATATCTGCCTACATGATATTCCTACTTATGTACATAATTCCAGTTCATTTATATTGATTTACTTAAGTTAACTATATGAACACCAGATGGAATCATTAGTAAATTTGATTATGATTACCGTGTATAATATCCAGTAATGAATTACTTGAGAGAGAGAGAGAGACGGCGAAAGGAAACAAAGATAGTATCTAAACTCGCACTAAAGTTTACAAAGGTCAGAGCTCACACAGGGGTGAAAAGCACCCAAGCTCATTCGAGCCATGGAATATCAAGTCGCTCGTACGAGGTTTCGTCTATTAGCGGTAACGAGAGAGCGCAGACAATGGAGCCGTGTGCTGGTGTTGTCTAATTGGAATAATATAACCAGGCGAGGGGCCTTTGAAACCTGCCTGGTGCGATTGGGAAGAGAGAGAGAACAAGGCTGGAAGAAACTAGTCGATAGATGTACCGTGTCCCTCTCGACACGACTGTGATAACCACGTCTGAATGTCTTTGCCTTTGACCGAAATAAAATGGCCAAACGGGATCGACATAAGAATAGGAAGGATCTACGTAAATAGGAACGATTTTGCTGAATAGGAAGAATCTAAGTAAACAGAAACGAATTGGCTGAATAGGAAGGATCTATATGGACACGACTTGCCTGCATAGGAAAGAGCTAAGTAAATTGGACCGACCTGGCTGAAAAGGGACGACCTAACTGAACATGGAAGTTTTATGGTGTTTACCTGTTAAGAGTAGAAGATACAGTTTTTTTTTATCTCTGTACACAACCTGACTTGAACAAGATATCAATGTAAACAAAAAATGAGACTCTAATCATCTACTCTGTTTTGAAGGGAGGTAGGAAGGGGTGAGGTAGGGAGGGAGGGGAGTAATGAAAATTGGGGGGGATTGTAATTTGTAGAATCTGATTTCGATTTGTGGTCAGTGGATATGTGCACTAAATATAGTAAGTCGGCGTTTTGTAGCTCGCCACACACACACACACACACACACACACACACACACACACACACACACACACACACACACAGAGTGGACCTAGTAGCGATCAGCGAAGAGGTAGGGCCAGGAGCTATGAATCCACCCCTACAACCACAAATAGGTGAGTACACACACACACACACAGTACCACTCACCTACTACAGTGAGGTTAGTAGTGAAGGTCAATGTAGGACTTGTATGGAAGTCTACCCTGCACCTGTAGGTACCATGGTCCCTGGCTAGCACTCCGTGTATCCTGAGGTAGGAGGCGTGGGCGGGGGTGCTCCCGTAGGCGGCCTGGCTGTCCCCGTGTTCGTTGTGGGCGTGGGTGGGGGCGTAGAAGACAACACGAGCACCCAGATACAAGGAATCCCTATAGTGAGCCGCCAGACTAGCCCTCGCGTCGTAGCTGAGGAAACACAATCGAGATTTCAGTTTCAGTTTGTTCTTAAGCAGCGTCGTGGAAAATAACTCGAGAAAACAAGCAATGAATAACACTCACCCGTAGTCTCGTTAATCATAACAGTGAGAACGCTTCCTAACATTGTACCGCGTGATGATACAACGCTAGATGCTGTACCTACCACATGGTACAACTCTAGATGCTGTATCTACCACATGGTACAACTCTAGATGCTGTATCTACCACATGGTACAACGCTAGATGCTGTATCTACCACATGGTACAACTCTAGATGCTGTATCTACCACATGGTACAACGCTAGATGCTGTATCTACCACATGGTACAACGCTAGATGCTGTATCTACCACATGGTACAACTCTAGATGCTGTATCTACCACATGGTACAACGCTAGATGCTGTATCTACCACATGGTACAACGCTAGATGCTGTACCTACCACATGGTACAACGCAGATGCTGTATCTACCACATGGTACAACTCTAGATGCTGTATCTACCACATGGTACAACGCTAGATGCTGTACCTACCACATGGTACAACGCTAGATGCTGTACCTACCATATAGTACAACGCGAGATGCTGTACCTACCACATGGTACAACGCTAGATGCTGTACCTACCACATGGTACAACGCTAGATGCTGTACCTACCACATGGTACAACGCGAGATGCTGTACCTACCACATGGTACAACGCGAGATGCTGTACCTACCACATGTTACAACGCCAGAGGCTGTACCTACCACATGGTACAACGCCAGAGGCTGTACCTACCACATGGTACAACGCCAGATGCTGTATCTACCACATGGTACAACGCTAGATGCTGTACCTACCACATGGTACAACGCCAGATGCTGTATCTACTACATGGTACAACGCTAGATGCTGTATCTACCACATGGTACAACGCCAGATGCTGTACCTACCACATGGTACAACGCTAGATGCTATATCTACCACATGGTACAACGCCAGATGCTGTATCTACCATATGGTACAACGCCAGATGCTGTATCTACCACATGGTACAACGCCAGATGCTGTACCTATCACATGGCACAACGTCAGATGCTGTACCTACCACATGGTACAATGTCAGATGCTGTACCTACCACATGGTACAACGCTAGATGCTGTACCTACCACATGGTACAACGCTAGATGCTGTACCTACCACATGGTACAACGCCAGATGCTATACCTACCACATGGTACAACGCCAGATTCTATACCTACCACATGGTACAACGCTAGATGCTGTACCTACCACATGGTACAACGCTAGATGCTATATCTACCACATGGTACAACGCCAGATGCTGTATCTACCATATGGTACAACGCCAGATGCTGTATCTACCACATGGTACAACGCCAGATGCTGTACCTATCACATGGCACAACGTCAGATGCTGTACCTATCACATGGTACAATGTCAGATGCTGTACCTACCACATGGTACAACGCTAGATGCTGTACCTACCACATGGTACAACGCTAGATGCTGTACCTACCACATGGTACAACGCCAGATTGCTATACCTACCACATGGTACAACGCAAGTTCTATACCTACCACATGGTACAACGCTAGATGCTGTACTACCACATGGTACAACGCTAGATGCTGTACCTACCACATGGTACAACGCCAGATGCTATACCTACCACATGGTACAACGCCAGATTCTATACCTACCACATGGTACAACGCCAGATTCTATACCTACCACATGGTACAACGCCAGATGCTATACCTACCACATGGTACAACGCTAGATGCTGTACCTACCACATGGTACAACGCTAGATGCTGTACCTACCACATGGTACAACGCCAGATTCTATACCTACCACATGGTACAACGCCAGATTCTATACCTACCACATGGTACAACGCTAGATGCTGTACCTACCACATGGTACAACGCTAGATGCTGTACCTACCACATGGTACAACGCCAGATGCTATACCTACCACATGGTACAACGCTAGATGCTATACCTACCACATGGTACAACGCTAGATTCTATACCTACCACATGGTACAACGCTAGATGCTGTACTTAAGCTCTACATCGCTGTCAGCGCTGTATGACCCTTGTAGGATTAGCACTTCGTTTTGATTATAATAATAATAATCTACATCGCTGTGGATGTGACTGAACGACCCACATGAAGGATGTGTGTCCGTGTATGACTCACGTGCATGAGTTGGTATGTGTATGTGTATTTACATGCCAAACATGGTCATGCAGACATCATCAATCAAACCTCTCAACTCTATTGGCGTATTCCAAGATATGATATAACTTAAGATAGAGAATTTCCAGCAAATTTCTCACTTTGTTTAAGTTAGACTAGATTTAGTTAAGTTTGATTGCGTTACACTGTAGTCTACTAGTGAAACTTAACAAATTATAAACCTACCACAACGCCAATAATATGAAACATTGTGAATAAAGGGATAAGAAAACTGATAAGTAGATAAATGAGGCAACTGAACAGCATTTGGGTATGCTTATTCTGGAATCGTTCGCCGACAGTGTGCTTCTTCATATGAACAGTGCACTGGGAAATGAAGGAAAGCCAACGTGTGGCGAACGTTTCCGAGATAAAGTACCCAAATGTTGGACAAGTGTCTCATTTATCAATATGAAATATTACACAGAGGCGGGAACTCCACACAGTCAGATAATCACTGTCTAAGGTTCGTGCAGCAGTTACCCATCCCACCCTCTCAGCAGCAGTGAAATGGCGACTTTCATTAGGGGAGGAGATGGGCTGTTGTTACATCAGTAATGAACTGGGAACGGTAATGAGTTGGTTCAACAACAGCAGTGAGTTGGATAAACAATAGTAATGAGTTGTTTGCACATTGGATGATTTTATGCAGATCTCTTCCGCCTCGCCTTCCACTTAGGTGCCTTGATGATAATGGTATAAGGCTCTTTATCCAAGGAACTCGAGCCACCCTTGCGTTTTTTAATCAAATATGATTATCTCCGTGTGGCCCCTACGGATTTAGTGATTCTCCATAATAATAATAATAATAATAATAATAATAATAATAATTAACAATAAAATTAATAATTAATAATAAAATTAATAATTATAATAAGAATAATAAGAATAACAACAACAATAACAACACCAACAATAACAACAGCATAATTCCCTTTCCAAAAAAAGTCATTATAAAAAGTAATCCCAATAAAAGTAATTTAAAAGTAAGAAAAATCATTATTTTTACGGCCATTAATGCGTAAAGGTAATCATATGCAAATTTAAAACAAACTTGAAGATATCTGTACTTAACTAGCAACACGAGGGAATATTTATAAGTAGAGATGTGAAGTTTTCTCATATCGCTAAAATCTGGGAAACGAGGCATGCCTTACATCCCCTTAGGGAAAATCATAAGACTGAAGGGTAACCATGTGTGGAGTACAGTAACAGGTAATTGATTTATGTCTCTTCAAACTTCCCCCAGGGTCAGGTTAGGTAAGATTTGTCAGGAAACAGGATGAGGGGAACGACAACCGTATGACCTACTGTCAACGATGATGATGAGAAGAGACAAGGTATATAACGACCTCTTATTGGGGTAACGTTTTGCTCTGTGTTAGTGTTTTGTCTTGACTTGATCACGCTTCACTCAGAGCGAAACTTGGTCTCAGTGAAAACCTCCTCTGCAACCTGCGTGTTTTCTTCCTCACGTGATCTCGGTTTTAGAACATCTTTCTTATCTTATTTGGTTGCTTGTTTGGTTTATTCGGTTTAAAGCCTGTCGACTACACGAAGGTCATTAAGATTGACTGTTATCTGTACATCACCAGACAAGGATGTTTTAATAGACACAGAGATACTTACTTCTTGGTGTATATGCACTAAGAGATACACACTTATTGGCGCGTATCAACTTATACATTCTGCTGAAGAGGACCTCAGTTGGAAGTCGAAATGCACAGGCAAAATCCCTCTATGTATTTTCTTAGTCTACTTGTGGGCTTCCTTCAAAAAGAAACAAGGAAGAGCAAGTACACGGTTTAGATAAGTCATGTGTTTTCCCTTGATTTTTTAAGACATATTAATCTTTCGTTCACCCTGTATTGTTAATTACAGCCAGGGAAGTTTAGTTGTTCTCGTCTCTGTTGTTCTAGCTTGCGTGAGGGGATTGGTACCTCACAGGCAGACCTAGAACAACCGTCTTTAGGTGTGTTTCCTTCGTTTTCTCACTGACATCTGAATTGGTGTGGGGGATATGGTTTCGGTGCTGATACTCGTAAAGTGTCAGTTCATTTGTAAACCAACACACATGGTTATTACCTACTGTTTGTGCATCTGACTTACTGTAATACGGTGTTGTTGTCTGATTGTTTTGTTTACAGGGGAAGTCGCTAAAGGGGATTTTTACGTGGTATGTGGAAGGCATTATTTATTCGGGAATCTGGTAACAGTCATGTCTTATTCAAGCCTAACCAGGTTGGGTCTGTCTCGAAGAAAATTTGACGCGTTGAATAACTGTCTTGACTAGTAAAGTGAAGTTTTGATGAGACTTTGGCAAGCTAACAATATCACCTTGTGTGCCTGCCTACCCATCTGCAGATTTACCTCTGTTCGTTCTGCAGACACTGAAACTTGGTTTGTCGGAACTCCTGCTTATCTTCGAGAAGCCTCGAAGAGAATAGTTCAGATCTTCTTGGCTGTGTGCCTATCCGAGTCTAGACGATCTCCGAGGTAGCCACGAGGAGACGCTCGAAGTAGCCTTTGAGTTTCGGCCTGATTGACTCTTGTTGGTCTTTATGAGTGCCTGGTGGCTCCTTGGGATTGGCGTTACCTCTTCTAATAGAGTCTGCCCTCTGTCACCCTTGGACACATCTGCCTAGAACAGATATTCCCTGTATTTTTTATGTATTTGGTGTACTCATGAGATTGGTTAGTTAATTGGGGTTAAAATCTATTAACTATACGAAGTTCATTAAAGCTACATGTAGCCTGTTCACCACCAGCCAAGAATACTTCATTCCCCGAAACAGAGATTAAAGTCCACTCTCAACATTCACACATTCTTCAATTTTTTTTTTTTTTTCACCATTTTTTGCATCACGGGGAAAGTCTATTTTTTATGTCATCTTTTCCCCGACAAACAATATCTCATGACAAACAACCCATCATCATTTTACATTGTTCGTTTTCCCTCTCATTACCGTGCGCTGGCTTCTGAACGTTCCCAGCGTCCGTTTGATTATCAAGAGAATTTGATAATTAAACGCAACATTTGCAGACTGATTTCCCGTCTTCCTGCCAAAACTGGTTCTAATTACCCCGTGTGTAGGGACTGTATTGCATTGCTGCCTTGCGTTGTGCTGTATAGCACTACTGCATTTTACTAATACCGTAACTATATTTATAATTGTACAATTTTACTGGTGCATTTTCTGCTTCAGAATATTATAATATTTCTCTATGAATTTCAGGACATTGCCCAATTGTAGTGTATTGTATTATGTTGTGTGCCAGTCTAGGGAATTGTGTCGAATTGTATTGCATAAATTGTCATGAATTGTGTTGCACTGCTCTTACAGGAATTGTACTGCACTTACCTGTAGATAGGTTTGACGATGCCTTGCTTGTACCAGAGGACCAGGAGGGCGGGGTCAGAGGTCAACGGGGAGGTCAAGTTGCAAGGGAGGTCAGCCACGCCCCCCTCTGCAACTACACACAACTCGCGTGGGACCTGCAACACGAGAGAAATTGGAATCACTCTAAAGCAGAGATAAAGAGGGAAGGATCGATGGAGATGCAACAGTAGGAAGGAGAGTAAGTAAGTTTATTCAGGTATACACAAATACAGTTACATAGAATTATCGTACATAGCAGCATATGTGTAGAGAACCTGGGATAACCCAAAAAAGTCAGACAGAGTGACTTATTTCCATTGTGGTTGGATAGTTTACCTTCAGTGGGGAGATGCAAATGAGATTATTTTAGGTATATCTGAGAGATTCGGAGCTAAGAAAGGCGTAGCGGTAATATTAAATGATCAGTTATGGAAAGGAGGGAATAGAAGTGTATAAATTCGATAATTATATGAATTAATATAAGGATGGGATGTGAGAAGTGGGTTATAGTAAGTGTTGATCCCATTAATCCCAGCAAAGCAGCTGGGATTAATGGGATCAACACAGAAATATTCATAGCAGGTGGGGATAAAGTTGTGGAGTGATTGGTGTTGTTGCTCAGTACGTGTATGAAGGGAGAAAAAGTAACAAGAGACTGGCAGAGAATATCCATTGTTCCTTTGTATAAGGGAAATTATAGGGAATTAAACCTGTTGAGAATATTGAGTAAAGTGTATGACAGAGTTATTATTGAAAGAATTATGGGTAAGACAGAGAGTGGGATGGCAGAGGAAGGAGGAAATTTTAGGAATCGTAAGAGATGTGTAGACCAAGTGTTTACATTGAAGCGTATACCTAAACAGTACTTAGATAAATAAAAGGAACTTTTCATTGCATTTATGTATTTAGAAAAGGCATGTGATAGGGTGGATAGGGAAGCAATGTGGCAGATGTTGCAAGTGTGGGGAATAGGTGACAAGTTAATGAGATTAATGATAGGGTATGTAGGAGAGAGAGAGAGAGAGAGAGAGAGAGAGAGAGAGAGAGAGAGAGATCATTTTCCAGTAAAAGTAGATCTTAAACAGGGTAAAACGGTTGACATGTTTCCTTACACCTGCTGCCGCTGTTCACCTAGCAGTAAGTAGGTACCCGAGTTTTAGTTGACTGTTGTGGGTCGCATCCTGGGAGCAAGATAAACTTAATAAGTTGTGCGAAAATACTCTGCATGACCAAGGTCTTTCAATACAGTATACCAGTGACGTCACCTACGTAAATCTGTCATAACTACATCATGTACGTGTAGAAATAAGTATTATTATTTACACATCGGCTGTTTCTCACCGAGGCTGGATGACCCATCATTATTATTATTATTATTATTATTATTATTATTATTATTATTATTATTATTGTTATTATATTATTATTATATAAATGGTAGTCAAATAGTCCAATGGTAGCCATAACATGGCCAAATGTAATCAAATAATGTAACGATATTTAAAACCATTCAAATGGAATTGATAAAATTAAACGACATTCACATATATTCCAAGACTTCCGGGAAAATGTAATAAGGTAAAAAAAAAAATAAAATGTCGTATATTATTTTTCCTCAATTACTTTGTCGACGCCTCGTCTGTTTCCCACCAAGACTGATTTAAAAAAAAAAAAAACTTCATATTCATCGTTATAACAATAAAATCTCAATAACCAATAAGAAAACATCAGTGTATATTCAAACTTACTAAGTAAAACAATTTATTTGATCATTTTAAGCAATGGCGCATTTTTCCCTTCGCTTCGTGAGCCTCTGGACGATGATAAAAGTAATGATATGCAAACATATATATTCATATATATACTTATACATATACAGCAAGATTTTCGTAAGTTTCTGAGAGCTTAACGAGGGAAAATGATGTACCCAAATTTACATAATGCGCGTTTGTGCGGGGGACTAATTTCAGAGTGTTATGTACTTTGTACTAGGTAAAGATTTCTTTTTTTTTTTTTGAAGGGGGGAGGTTAGGGGGTTATCGTCCGGAAAACCCGTAAGGGTGTTCTGGAAGCGTGTTAGCGGAGACACTCTTTGTGTGGTTATGGTTGGTGCTTATTGTTTGGCCTCTGGTTAGTTGTTTGGAGTGTGATTAGCAGTGCTGCTGTTATTGGTGCTGTTGCTACTACTACTGCTGTTATTGGTGCTGCTACTACTATTGTTGCTGTTATTGGTGCTGTTGCTACTACTGCTGTTGTTATTGGTGCTACTACTACTACTGTTGCTGCTTACCGCTGCTGTTATTGATGCTGTTGCTACTACTTCTGTTATTGGTGCTACTACTACTACTGCTGCTGCTACCGCTGCTGTTATTGATGTTGTTGCTACTACTACTGTTATTATTGGTGCTACTACTACTGTTGCTACTACTACTATTGTTGCTACTGCTGCTCTTATTGGTGCTAGTACTACTGCTGCTACCGCTGCTGTTATTGGCGCTGTTGATACTACAACTGCTGTTGATGCTACTACTACTATTGCTGCTACTGCTGCTGTTATTGGTGCTAGTACTACTGCTGCTGCTGTTATTGGTGCTGTTGCTAATACTACTGCTTCGACTTCTGCTGTTATATTAGTTCTACTGCTGTTGCAATCCCCACCTACACAACTTAACCTTGAAGTAATAGTGTGATATCCCCTGACATAGCAAAAAACTTACACTTACAGTGGTATCCCCGGACACAGCCATAACCTCCGACTCATACAGTGGTATCCCCGGACACAGTCATAACCTCAGACTCATACAGTGGTATCCCCAGACACAGCCATAACCTCCGACATATACAGTGGTATTCCCAGACACCGCCATAACATCTTAATAACCCATACTCAGTCGATAAATTTGAAACCTGAAAAACTGAAGACAAACGTATGTACTCCGAGACATACATAAATACAGACTGAACAAGAAAAACCTGAATGAAAACCAAGGATGCTAATTTTGCTGAGACAAAGCTGAGAAGACGGCTGAGGCGTCGCAGTTCTAGCCACGACCAGGTCTAAGTATGCACATATTTTTCCCTGATTTCTGGGGCCGCGTGTGTTGTAAGGTGAAACAAAAGACACGCGTACTCACCTACATGTACTCACCTATTTGTGGTTGCAAGGGTCGATTCATGGTTCCTGGCCCCGCCTCTTCACTGATCGCTAGTAGGTCACTCTCTCTCTGCTCCATGAGCTTTATAATACCTCGTCTTAAAAGTATGTATGGTTCCTGCCTCCACTACGTCACTTTCCAGACTATTCCATTTCCTGACAACTCTGGGACTGAAGAAATACTTCCTAACATCTCTTTGACTCATCTGAGTCTCCAGCTTCCAATTGTGACCCCTTATTTCTGTGTCCCATCTCTGGAACATCCTATCTTTGCCCACCTTGTCAATTCCTCACAGTATTTTATACGTCGTTATCATGTGTGTGTGTTTAGAAAAGTCAACTGTTCCTTCTGATATCTCCGAGACCACGCAGAAGGAAAATTCAATTCAATTTGGAGCGATGATTACTGTGAACCAAGTGTAGAAATGATTAGATTTTGGTGAGCTCAGTTTGCATGTTATTGGCGAATTTGCCTAATGAAAAAACCTTTCCGCAACTCTACCTTTGGCAACACTCAGGACGGCCCCGTAATTGATATGGGTATATAATCACCTATTTCCGATTGCAGGAGTCGAGTGGCAGCTCCTGGCCCTACCTCTTAACCGGCCTGTTATCGAGTTCACTTCCTTCTAGCTCTCTCATGCCTAGTTTTAAAGCTGTGTATTGAATGTGTCTTCGCTACATCTTCACACAGGTCACTGCATTTGTTGGAATCGCGTGAGTAGTGTACTCACCTATTTGTGGTTGCAGGGGTCGAGACTCAGCTCCTGGGCCCCCATCTTCACTGGTCGCTACTAGGTCCTCATTCTCCCTGCTCCATGAGCTTTATCATACCTCCTCTTAAAACTATGTATTGTTCCTGCCTCCACTACATCACTTGCCAGACTATTCCACTTCCTGACAAACTCGTGTGTGTGTGTGTGTGTGTGTGTGTGTGTGTGTCTGTCTCTTGTCTGTCCACTGGACAGACGGTCTTACTATTATTCCAAAAAAAAAAAAAAGAAACACGTAACTTAAATTACAGATTCGTCTGAATCACGTTTGGCCTGCAGCACTGTAGATCGACTTCCCTACTGACCAGTCCATGACTCTCTCTCTCTCTCACTCTCTCATTCTCTCACTCTCTCACTCTCTCACTCTTCACTCTCTCACTCTCTCTCACTCTCTCTCATTCTCTCACTCTCTCACTCTCTTCCTCACTCTCTCACTCACTCTCTCTCACCAAATTGTACGAGCCGGGTTAATGACTTAACTTTCCCTCACACTGCCTCGTAATTCGACGCGACTACCCAGTTTGTCAATCAGATCCCAGTGATCTGATGGCCCAAACAAATTCAAGTTCAGGTAATTAATTTGCAATCATTCCAGCCAACACAGGTAAAGGTAATTCCCGAGATCAAAATGGTCTCAAAACGGTGACAAAACGGTCAGAAAAAGGCCACAAAATGTTTGTTAGTCTAAATAACGAGTGAATTCCTTTTGTGATGGGAGTGTTTGCTGGGGGATGTAGCGACCTGGGAGGGGGATTGGGAGGGCAGCTCCATTTCCTGGAATCAAGAGCCTAATACACAGTCTAACCTCCACACTATACAATACTAACCCAAGGTACACAGTACCAACTCACACTACATCATACCACCACTACACTACATCATACCAGTCTCACACCACGCCATACCACCCCACACTATATCATACCACCCCAACACTACATACCACCCCTACGCTACATCATACCACTCTCACACTACATCATACCACCCCTACACTACATCATACCAGTCTCACACTACATCATACCACCCCACACTACATCATACCACCCCAACACTACATACCACCCCTACGCTACATCATACCAATCTCACACTACGTCGTAACACCCTACACTACATCATGCCACTCTCTACGTCATACCACCCCACACCACATCATGCCACTCTCACACTACGTCATACCACC